ATGCCTCTTGAGTTGTAGCTAGGTCATTAAGTTTGCCTGCATTCGGTATACATTTAGTTTCAACAGTAGTTTCATAAGTGATATGTAGGTGTGACTTATAGGTGTGCCCACAAACGTGACACATTTTCGACTTGACTCTCATGAACGTAGTGCCCCATAGTTTGCCATACTCATCTAATTGAATATCGGAATCAGGGATTACCCTGGTAGGTTTATGATAGCGACATTGTCCAATTTGCTCGTACTTATTGAATGCTTGGCACTTTAGTAAACCTTTATTACCCTTGACCTTGCCACCATTATACGGTATGTAGCATGGTGAATGACACTCAGACTTATAATTGACATGGCTCATTCCGTTGACCACCACGTGCTCACAGCACGGCCCTTCAGTGCATACAGTTTTTGGTTTATCTAAACACACAGTCTTGATGTCAACAGATGGCACATACATTTCCTCCCGGAGCTGCTCTATTGTGCCCGTAAACTCCCTGACCCGGCGCTTATGTATCTCGCATTGGTGTTGATTATCGGCGATATGTTTGGCGATATCGGCCAATGGCTTAATCAGTAATAGGATGTTGTGTTTGGCGTTATTGAGGGATAGGGTGTCCAGTATTTTGTGGGGTTGGAGTGAAACTATGCGCTCCAGTAGTCGATCGCATTCTCTGACAGAACTTAAAAATACAATAAAAATATATAATTTATAATAAAATTTAAAAATTTATAAATACCTTGCCCAACTTTCTTTATACTCCAGTGTTAAGTCATCGCTGAATTGCATGTTATTCGGGGGAACAGTAGCCACGAGATAACGGAACGACTCGTTATCAAAGCAATAGATGGTTTTCTTATCGTAAGGTATGTCTACATTTAGCGGGTTATCTCTAATTTGTTTCAACATGTTTAGCAAAATAGGACCGGACTCACCAGGGGCATACTGTGTACTACGAGTGTTGGTGAACAGGAACAGTATGTTATCGACGGCCGACTTATTCAAATGACTCAATAACCCAAACAAACAATACTTGAAAATCACGTCAACTCTAGTATTATTAGGCTTTAAAAGCACACAAATGGCATTAATCTCCCGATAATTGCTTATAAAATTCAGAATGTTTTCCATATTTTCATTGTCTTTATTAAGACCACTCGTATCGGCAATACCCGGGGTATCTATTATATTAAGTACGATATCTTGATTTACTAACTTATAGCATCGGGGATATTTAGTGGCAGATAGTGTAGAGTCGGTTATGTTTTCATTGGGGTCTTCTTGAGGACCAAATGTTATAGTCTTGAGGTCATAGGTCTCGGTGTCAGACATTGTGAATGCTGTGGGTATTAGGCATATAGGCTGCTGATCCCGGGCCTCATCCATAGTCTCGTAAGTCATATAATTGACGAATGCGTTGATGAAAGTAGACTTTCCTACACCCGACTCACCCAATAATAAAATTGTGAATTCCTTTTGGGCCATGGTACTTTTTACAAAAAAAATAAATTATTAATGTAATAGAATTTGTTTTAAAAATTAATAAGTTTAAATAATAACATTTAAAATGTATAAGTAATGTATAGTTATAATTACAACTACTCTGTAAGCTCCTTTATGCTTTGATTACAATAAATTAAAACAGGTTGCTGTTTGTTATAAATTTTAAAAAGTAGGATTTAGATTAGGTGGTATAGTATTGGAAACACAATTTATATTTATATCTAATTACTGTTATATTAAATTAAATTATTATATTAATATAAATTATCTGTAAATAATAAACTTACTCTGTGATACTAAAAAGCAAAATTATGATTAAAAGGTTTTCAATGGAAACTTGAATAAACAATTAACCTTTGTACTACCTAATGTTTGATTATGTTATATCTTACACAATTTTAAGCCCTTAGCTACTTATTAAGATTACTATAATTTATAATAAAATTATACTAGTAACACAAGTACTGATTTTAATAGTGATTTAATAGGATACTGACGTGGCAGTACAATAATAATGAATTTTTTAAATTTCTGTGCTTTTTAATCAATTAAGCATTATATACCAAGGTAAAGTTTTAGAAAAATTATCTATTTGTTACATTATAAAATTATTTGACAATTTCCTTTTTAATTCATTATATTTTACTAAATATATAATAATTATATTTATAAAATTTTCAATTTAGACAGTTCAAAGTCTAAAATTATGATTGATAATAAATTACGAATATATAAATAAAATACTGTAGTAGTATAGAATAAGTAGACTAGAAGTATAATGTAGAATTAAAATTATTTTATTTACAAATATAAATTTTAGATATTCTGTATAGTATACTGGTACATCAAAGATAAATTAACTAACACAATGTTTTCGTATTAATTTATTTACAGATTTAAATAAAAATAAAAATGCAAAGGACCGCTAGTAATAAATCAAATGCTGATCAGCCTGTAGCGACCCCTAGAGTCATATCGAGGGTATATAAATTAATATTAAAATAAATAACGTTTTAAAACTAAATTATTATTTGTAGCCTGCTTCAATAAAGAAAGAGATAACAATTTTATTGTTGGGTGAGTCCGGTGTGGGAAAGTCCACTTTCATCAATGCTTTTGTCAATTATATGACTTACGATAGCATGGAGTCCGCAAGGGTTGAGAAACCTTTATGTCAAATACCAGTCAACTTTACGTACTCTGACCCGGATAATTATGAATTGAAAGAAATTACACTAGGTACCCAGGATGACATTAATGAAAACACTAAAGATGCTACTCAATCCGCAACACAATACCCTAAATGCTATAAATATCTAAACAAGGATATTGTCCTAAATCTGATCGATACCCCGGGTATCGCCGATACGAAGGGTATTGATAAGGATAACAAACACATGAAAAATCTTTTGGCGTTTATATCTAATTATCCGGAAATTAATGCCATTTGTGTGCTCTTAAAGCCTAATAACGCGAGGGTTGACGTGGTTTTCAAGTATTGTTTGTTACAGTTGTTCAGTCACTTGAATAAGTCGGCCGCCGATAACATACTGTTCCTGTTCACTAATGCCCGTAGTACTAACTATGCCCCTGGTGAGACTGGACCAGTATTGAGAAACTTCCTGGACAAACTTCGTAATGAACCGCCAAATGTGGACATAAAGTATAGTAAGGATACTATTTATTGCTTCGATAACGAGGCCTTCAGATACCTTGTGGCTACTGTTCCCCCGAATAGCATACCATTTAAACCAAATTACGTGCGCCAACATTCCGCTAGTTGGGACAGGTATTTATTTAAACATTTAAAACTAATTTCAATTTTATGAATTTTATTTAATATGATTACTAAATAATAATTTTGTTTATGAATATTTAAAATACTAATTATAAATTTATAAAGTAATTTTTATTTCAAAATGAATGACAATTTAAATTTTTTAGTCATTTTTAACATTCGCTAATATTAGTTTTATAATATAATGAGATAATTATTTATTTCGTATTATTATAGTTTATAGTTTACGACAAAATTATTTTCAAAACTTAACTTAAGACTAGATATATATATAATAATAATTTGAAATCATTATTATTTAATAATTAAGTTGGCTATTAACTTATTTTGCACCTAGGTCGGTCAAAGAAACTGAGCGTCTACTCAAGTACATTGTATCACTACCGGCCCATAAAGTCCAGGACACGGTATCCCTAAACAACGCCAAACAACAGATCCTATTACTGACGCAACCATTGGCCGACTTATCGAAGACTATATCCGATAACCAGAAGCTCTGCGAAAATCATAGGAAAGCCATCAACGAGTTCAACGGCACTATTGAGGAGCTTAAGAAAAAGCTGTATATCCCTAAAGTGTCGGTAATATCGGTGCCATTGGATAAACCAAAGATGGTGTGCGGGCACAAGGAGTGTTGCACTCAAACCGAAATGGACGGTATGGTTAACACACATTATAAGAAGAACTGCCACTCACCATGTTACCTGAGCGATACACCTAGCAGCGTTATAGGGGACACTAGCCTACAATCGTGTAAGGTATTTAAAAGGGGGTTCTTCCTAAAAAGCGACAAGTGCTCTGAGTGCACCCATAGTTATCAGGTACACTTGTACGTTTGTTACGAGTCTCTAAGGGAGGTCAAGGAGGTTAGGGATGAAAACGTGTACAAAAGTTTGACTACCATTGAGGAGGCGTCGGAGGCTAAACGGGAACAGTTGGCAAAAATGGAGGATTACGTGGGTGATCTATCAAAGGAGCAAGCTATAATTTCTAGATGCATGGCTAAATTTGTATGCTTTTTAAAGCGAAATGCCCTTACACCATTCAACGATGCATTTGGCAGCTATGTAGATTATCTGATCGAGGTCGAAAAGCGGGCTGCTAATAATCGGTCTACGATAGATAAGCTTGAACAATTACTGGTTCTGTATAATACTCAGGTAAAGGATTTGACAGATGCTATGGAAAGTACTGATACGGTCGGGGAGTATATATCGGTGCAAGATATTGAGGATAGTATTAGGAAGTTGTACTCGCTCAAAATTAATGGTAAAGATATTCAGCATATGATGGAAGTTCAACGAGAGTGCCAGAGTAATAATCACGTGACCGATAAAGTGGTTAATTATGTTATGTCTGAGAAGTCGCTGTTTTCGAAGATTAAGAATTTTTTCGGATTTAAAAAATAAATTTTATTTTTAAAATTCTTTATAATAAAAAGTCAAATATTTTTAAAAAGTTAATTTAATTAACTTATTTAAAATAGATAAAGTTATAAATTGGATTCATGACTGCATTTAATTAAATATAATTTGTAAATTTTACATTAAACATTAAGTTTATTGTTTGAGCAACATTGATTTTAACTTGTTAAACAGTGAAGAATCTACAGGCACATTTGATTGTTAAAGTAATGAGTTCAGTACTAAAACATAAAAACTACGTGCGACCCGTAATTTATCCAGAACATATCAAAATGGTACCTAGAAGTTCAACATATTGCGGTACTATAACAATAGTTACCAATCTAATGATATATCACCATTACTCTTTTCCAAATTATTTTTTTCATCGTGATACCCTGCTAACAAATTTTCCAATTTAATAGCAACAGCTTTATGTGAATCATCACTGATATTGTCAATTGCTTTCTGTGTATCGATTAAATGAACCAGGTAACCAGCAAATGAATCATTATAAGGAGTCAGAGCGTTGTGGTTTAGAAAATACACAAACGTAGCCATACATTTAATTATCATGTTACTTTCAGTTGATAAATCGTTGATTTTATCATCCAGTTCCATTAATTGTAATTTCTGTGCCTCCATGGCCTCGATGTTCGTTGTAATACGTTTGGACTCATCTCTGGCTATAATACTATCAACTTTGGTCTCAAACTCGTAATACACGTGCTTATGGGCTAGTGAGCTGTGACCGCAACTCTAGCACTTGTCAACCGTTTCACGTTTTCGTGGCTTATTATCAGCCTTAGGGCCAAAGTCAGGGTACTCCCATCTTGAACATATAAGTGTGTGCAACATACTTATCCTTGTATATTTATTAAACGCCATACAATTGACTAACCCTCTGTTACCTAAAATACTACCTTCATTAAATGATAAGTAGCATGGTGAGTGACAGGGTTTAGGGTAGGTAGTACGTCTAGTGGATGTACCAGGGATAATTTCATGCTCACAACAACCTTTGGCAGTGCAAACTGTATAAGGGTGATCTAAGCGTTTAGGTATTAATGACATGAAAGGGACGTATAGCTCCTCTTCCAGCGCCTGTATGTTTCCCTTAAACTTTTGTAAACGATTCATCTGTTTCTCGCATTCAATGATGTTTTGGGCGATATTTTTCGATATATCGACCAATGGCTGAATCAATAGCTGGATATTCAGTTTGGCGTTATTGAGGGACAGGGTGTCCATCACTTTATATGGTTTTAGGGATGCAATGCGCTCCAGGAGACGATCGCACTCTTTGATAGATCTAAATAAATTATATTAATATTATTTGTACTTGATAATCTTTTTAAGAAACATACTGGCTCCAACTCCGTATGTATTCCTGTGTTGAATCCTCGCTAAACACCATATCATTTGGGGGAACAGTAGCCACGAGATACCGGAAGGCTTCGTTATTAAAACAAAATATTGTACTCCGATTATAAGGTATGTCCACATTTGGGGCATTGGTTTTCAATGTCTCTAATAATGCCTTCAGTGAGGGACCCGACTCTCCCGGTGCGTATTGGGTGGACCGGGCGTTGGTAAAGAGGAACAGTATGTTATCGGCCGCAGACTTATTCAAGTGACTGAACAACTGTAACAAACAATACTTGAAAATAGCGTCAACTCTAGCGTTATTAGGCTTCAGGAGCACACAAATGGCGTTAATCTCTCGATAATTGGATATAAAATGCAAGAGGTTTTCCATATTTTTATTATCCCTTTCAATACCCTCTGTATCAGCAATACCCGGGGTATCGATAATATTCAGAGCTATGTTGCCGTCCGTGAACTTATAGCACCGGGCGTTTTGTGTGGCCGATCGGGTGCTGTCTGTAGTGTTTTCATTGAGGTCTTCGTGTGGACACAACTGAATACTCTTGAGTTCGTAGGTCTCCTCATCCGATACCGTGAATGAGACGGGTATTAGACAGTGGGGCCGATCCCTGGCCTCATCCATAGTCTCGTAAGTCATGTAATTAACAAAAGCATTGATGAAAGTAGACTTTCCCACACCTGACTCACCCAATAATAACAGGGTTATTTCCTTTTTAGCCATAATTTACTTAATATTATTAGAATAAAATAAAACTAATCCATATAATTTTTTAAAATTATTTAATTTAAAATATATTACTTAATTTTTACAATATTTTTTATCAAATTGTATTTTATGCAGTTAAGGTTATTTTGTTGACAATTCACAAAGGTTATTTATGTGCTTTTGAAGCCGAATAACGCTAGGGTTGATATAATCTTTAAGTATTGTTTGTTACAGTTGTTGAGTCACTTGAATAAGTCGGCCGCCGATAACATACTGTTCGTATTTACCAATGCCCGGTCTACCAACTATGCCCCTGGTGAAACGGGACTTGTATTAAACAAGTTTTTGGATAATCTGCGAGATAAGCCCCCACACGTGGACATACCTTACAATAAGGACAGGATCTATTGTTTCGACAACGAGGCCTTCCGTTATCTCGTAGGTATGCTTCCCCCGAATAACGTCCCATTGCGACCACTGTATGTACGACAAAGTTCAACCAGCTGGGACAGGTAGGTCACGTTAATAGGTTAAAGTAATTGAGATATAATTGTTGTTTAGTAAAATGTTGTATTAGTTTATATTTTTTGATAAGAAAACATATTTAACGCCAATAGGTTTTAATAAGTCAGCAAAGTTATTTATTAAATATCTGGTTAATTTTTAAAATAAAAGTTCTCTATTTTTAAGTATTTGAGTAATGATTATTTTGTTGTTAATAACACCTAGGTCAGTCAAAGAGTGCGAACGTTTGCTCAAATACATCGTATCCCTACCGCCCCACAAAGTTCAAGACACGGTATCCCTAAACAACGCCAAACAACAGATACTATTACTGACGCAACCATTGGCCGACTTATCAAAGACTATATCCGATAACCAAAAACTCTGCGAAAGTCATAAGAAAACGATCGACGAGTTTAACGGCACAATCGAGAAACTCAAGAAAAAGCTGTATATCCCGAAAATGAATGTAATATCAGTGCCATTAGATAAGCCAAAGATGGTATGCGGGCACAAAGGGTGCTGCACACAAACTCAAATAGATGGTATTGCTAAATCGCATTATAAGAAAAACTGCCATTCACCGTGCTACCTGAGCGATACGCCAAGTAATATCATAGGGGACACAAGTCTACAATCATGCAGGGTATTTAAAAAGGGATTCTTTCTAAAAAGCGACAAGTGCTCCGAGTGTGGTCATAGTTACCAGGTACATTTGTATGTAAACTACGAGTCATTAATGGAGGTCAAGGAGGTTAGAGATGAAAAGGTGTACAAAGATTTAACTACTGCTGAACAGATGTCGGAGGCTAAACGTAAACAGTTACAGGAAATGGAAGCCTACGTGGGTGAATTATCCAAAGAGCTGGCTACTATAAGTCGGTGTATGGCAAAGTTTGTTTGCTTTTTAAAACGAAATGCACTTACACCATTCAACGATGCATTTGACACATACGTACAGTATCTAATTCAAACCGAAAAGCACGGTGCTAATAATCGATCCACGATAGATAAACTGGAGAAATTGCTTGCTTCATATAACAAGCAAATGAATTATTTGACCGAGGCTATGGTAAAGGCCGATACAACTGGCGAGTATATAACGGTGAAAGATATCGAGGAGAGTATACGCGAGTTGTACTCGCTCAAATCATACGGGCCCATCATTAAGCAAATGATGGACGTCCAACACGAAGTCCGCGCTAATAGTCACTCGACCGATAAAGTCGTTAATTATGTTATGTCTGAGAAATCATTGTTTTCGAAAATTAAGAATTTTTTGGGGTTTTAAAATTTAAATTTTATTTTCAATGTGATTTATTGTTTGCATTTATAAAATGTATTAAATGCTAATTAAATAAGAAAAATAAATTTAAAAATCTTAATTTGTTAATACAAATATTATAACATATTGGTTAGTCCATAGAACTCCAACCCTTATCTTAGTGCTGCATGGGTGGCATCGTTCACAAATCTATGGTGGGTGGGGGGAATAACTTAATTAAGTAGCCTACAGGGAACAGTAGTCTAAAGGGAATGGTATGTCAATGGAGGTCACTATTACTTGCAGTGCACACCTAATTTATTAAAAATTATATAAATCTATGCACACTCATTAATAGTGTTACTATTCCCCCCACCCACCATAGATTTGTGAACGATGCCACCCATGCAGCACTAAGATAAGGGTTGGAGTTCTATGGGTTAGTCAATCAATTTAATATCCGGTTTTCCCAATATACAACACTAGTTATTAAACTTTTTTAAAAAAATACCATATTGTATTTGATTAATACATTCTTGATTAAAATCTAAAATTGTTACAAGTATTACAATCAGTTACCATTAGTATTACTAATTGTACATTACTCAATATTTCGGGTGTATATGCTTTATATTATATGAAATCGAAATCAACGAACATCTTGATTTTGGAAAGCAATGATCCTTCAGTCATGACATAATTGATTTCATTTCCTGACGTGTGATTCTGTGCCCTGCATTCACTTTGCAAGTTCATCATGTCCCGGATTGTTTTGCCATTTAATTTGAGCGAGTACAACTCTCTGATACAGCCTTCTATATCTTCTACAGTTATACAGCCGCTGATCGTATCATTCTTATCCATGGCGTCACTTAAACGTTCAATCTCTTTATGATGATCATCTAGTAATTGTTCCAGTTTATCAATAGTAGATCTATTTAAAAAGTATTAAAATTTTTATATATGGGACAAGAAATAAAAACATAAAAAACCAACAAAAAAAGAACTTGTAAAATATTTCGTAATATTTATACATTATTATCCAGTTTAAATATCTATTAATATTGTACCTGTTATTTGTGGCAACTCTTTCGGTTTCTATCAAATAACGCACATAACTCTCAAAACCGTCATTGAATGGCGTCAATGCATTACGCTTGAGAAAGCTTACGAAACGGGCCATACATCTGGTTTGGAAACAAAACATTTAATTAATAATATATCGATTCCCTGGTAGATGAATTAACCTTGAAATTATAGCTTGCTCCTTTGATAATTGCTTCACATGCTTCTCCAATACCCTTAACTGCTTCGCTTTGGCATCCTGTGCCTCCTGACTGGTGGTAAGCTTCTCATAAATAATCTCATCCCTTACCTGTTTCACCTCCATTATGGACTCGTAGCTAATGTACAAATGTGTCAGGTAACTATGGTGACACTCGTGGCATTGATCATTTTTAAAGAAAAATCCACGTTTGAACACATGGCACGATTTTAAACCTGGATCTCCAATCACATTACTACATGTATCGCTTAAGTAGCATGGTGAATGGCAATTTTTCTTATAATGTGTATTTACTATGCCATCGATTTCTTGTTTAGTACAGCACTCCCTGTCGCCGCATACCATACGTGGTTTATCCAATGGCATGGATATAACACTGACCCTGGGCACATATAGCTTATTTTGTAGTTCCTCTATAGTACCCTCAAAATCCTTGATTTCTTTTTTATGATTTTCGCAGAGTTTCTGGTTATCGGATATACATTTTGATAAGTCGGCCAATGGTTGAGTCAGTAAAAGGATCTGTTGTCTGGAGTTGTTTAGCGATAGGGTGTCCTGAACTTTGTGGGGCGGAAGGGATACGATATGTTGCAGTAGGCGCTCACATTCTTTAACAGATCTTTAAAAGTAACAATAACAAATAACATTTTGGATTAATAATGAATTTAAACGAAAAATCTGTTTTTAGTATTTGAATATAACTAAAGCTACCTGTCCCAACTGGCCGATAGTTGTCTTATGTAAAATGGTTTATATGTGATATTGTAAGGCGGTGTAGATGCAAGTAGATATCGGAAAGCCTCATTGTCAAAGCAATAGATATTTTTGTTGCTATATTCGATGTCCACGTTTGGAGGGTTGTCCTTAATATCCTTAAGAAATTTAGACAATACCGGTCCCGTATCACCGGGAGTATAGTTTGAACCCCGAGCGTGAGTGAATAGGAACAGTATGTTATTGACGGCCGACTTATTCAAGTGACTGAACAATTGAAACAAACAATATTTGAAAAGTACGCTAACTTTGGCTTCAGTAGGCTTTAAAAGCACACAAATGGCGTTAATCTCGCGATAATTGCTTATAAAGTCCAACAGATTTCTTAAATTCTTGTTATCATTATCTATGCCTTTGGTATCGGCAATACCCGGGGTATCGATAATATTAAGAATAATATCATTGTTGATAAATTTATGGCATTTCGGATACTGAGTCGATGATTGGGTGGAGTCATCAGTGTTCTCATTTGAATCTTGAGCTCCAAACTTGATTTCATGTATTTTAAGTGTATCTTGGTCAGACACTGTAAACTTAACCGGTATTTGACAAATGGGCTTTTTAAGTTGAGCAGATTCAATACTTGGATATGTTAGATAATTAATAAATGCGTTGATAAAAGTCGACTTTCCCACACCCGACTCTCCCAATAATAACAAGGTTACCTCCTTTTTCTATAATTTATAATATTTAATAATTGAGTATAAAAATAATTTATAAAACCATACGATATATTTTTATTAATTTTAATAATAAACACGCCTTGGCATAACTATTATTCAGTGGTTTTTTGAGTGTCCTTGGTCATAAGATATTTAAGTCTGAAAATTGACTAAAAACTCATAGAAAATATATTGGCTTGTTCACAATTTTAAGTAATTTAAAAACTTGGTCTTTTCTAATGCTATTTGTAATGTTTAAAAACCAGACACCGTAAAATAAAATTGCGTTTTTATGAACTAATAATATTTAAAATTTTCTTATAAATGTTATTCTAACTTTGGAACCATAGGTCCCAGAACAATTCAAAATAGTGCATTAACACGAGGGACAAAATAATCAAGATCAATGTATAAATTCTTGTAAATTTATGCGTGTAACAATTTTCAAAATTACTTAAAGTGGTTAAAAACTCCAATGTATTTTCTACGAGGAAATGTAGTCAATCTTCAGACCCAAATATAATGTCACGAGGGTAATTTAGATAAATAAATTTATATGCAAAATTATCTGGCTATAATCATTTATCTGGCTATATGAATATGATCACTAGATTTCTGTGCGATTAGCCAGTCAAAAGATATATTTAAATATCCACTGCATAATAATTATTCTGTGATATATAGGATAATTTTTAATCGGATAGACAATTATAAATACAGTATTAATTTATGATTACATTTTAAGGTTAGTAATATAAATTAAATGGTAACAAACTATAATTTTGCAATCTTCAATATAAATCTACCCCAATGTAAACATAGACCACGCTTATTTTATACTATAATATTAAAACGTGAATTTTATAATTAGTTTCAATACCATACTTACTTTTTTTGGGGTTTTAAGCGTTGGACTAGTATTTATATTACTCATTGTTGTTATTAATGATAATTTCAAAATAAATCATCAACATAAAATAAATACTATTACGATTGTGATAAATTTTTATACTTAATTTGAAAATTTTTTAAATATTTTAGTACACTACTTTTGTGAAGTTTTATAAATAATTAAAATATGTTTAATGTATGTTATTCACGACTGAATTATAAAAATATATTTTAATATACTAGTAATAAATGAGTATACTTTGATAATGTCCTAAAT